AGGCTCATTCACTCTTGTTTATCATAATATAGAAATATTGGGAGCAAAAAGAACAGTTTCCGATGCAACTCTTGAATTACATATATTCCCTCCACTCAATGTTTTATGGCAAGCAGTCTTACACACACTAAGGCTAATATTTTCCCTTGAAAATTAAGGTATATATCTCAATTGGAAATAAAACAGAAACATAATTACAAAAGTAACACTCTGTGATTGTTAATGACAACAATTTTTTACTGACTGATGTAAAAATGAGGCTGATTGAACTCAAAAATAAAATGGGGAGGACATCCTATTAAGCAAGCTAGAAGATTGGTGAGTGTAATAAAACCTAAAACACAGTTGTCATCAGAAAGATCATGACAACACAAAATTACTTATCTAGTTCCTAAATCCAGTTAAAAGAGTAATCTCAATGCACAAGCAAAACCACATATACATTCCACATTTTCCTTATTTTTCTTTCGGTATGATCATCCTTGAAAAGCTTTATACTTTCAAGCTAAAAATTGGTCACTCTACATGGAAATATTTCAGCTAAGGTCATATGTGCCTTAGATGTGAGTCCTTTGGAATGTGGCATATTACATGCCCACATGGGATTTTGACAAGTTCTAAAAGTATTCTTTACACAGTTTCTGCAGAATAAGATATCGAGGCCGAAGATAGATTGATTAAAGAATATAAATTTCGCTCCTCCATGTACCATTTGCAAAGTTGAAATCAATTCTATACACACAAGTTGGTTGGCCTGTTGCAAAGATCTTATTTCTTTGAAGAGAAAGAGAATATATAACAACATGCTCTACAATTTAGTGATCCAGAGTTGGTCTATGCCTTCAAAAGGGACAACGTTAAAGGCTGGATATGGGCTATCGCAAAATGTGAAGCATTATTTACTATCTGGATCAATAAGGTCGTGAAATCTTTGAATCCTTCCTCAATGGGCAACTTAGCTATTTCTCTTTTTCTTTTTTACCCCTCCCTAGAAGCTCCCACCTTTTTTGATCCCTCGTTAGAGGTGGAGGGTGCTTACACTTGAGCAACCCCATCTTGTCATGGGCAACTTATATGACAAGACCTATGTCGACCCTAAGAAAAGAGGTTAAGTTTAGCAAATTATATAAAAAAAACTGCTCTATGTGCTGTCATGCCAGCAGGTTAGAACACCAAATGGTGAAGATCAGAAACTTCAGTACTTAACACCACCAAATCACCGATACCCAAAACTTACACCTAATCCAAAGAATTTTTCAGATTCCAACCTTTGCATGCATGCCTATCACCTATATTTTATGCCTCTATATCTTCTTTTTTTCGGTCTATAGGTATATGTTATGCCTCTATATCAAAGAGAACGAAAGATTCACAAGAATATAATGCCTCATTTATTCAGTAAGAAGCAAAGCTATTCAATGTCATTTTAAGCCATTCTTTTGAGGTAGTGCAGGGATCTAAGACAAACATCTCACTTTAATTTAGGTTCACGGAGCTGTTGTGGTTGGTTGACAAGCTTCTTGTGTCCTATCCACTGCTCTCTGCTTTGGTTCCAGAGGAATAGTCCTGGCAGAAAATTTGTATATAAAATAATTGTTCATTAGACCTTTAAAAGATGATGATAGGAAACAATCATGTTAAGCCAAATGCCTAAACAGTGTATTGAGTCTAAATAGAACTTATTAGAGATGGGCCTATTATCTTTTATCACTCTCAACGGTGTGACAGAATTTAATCTGGAACATCAACATCACTATGGTTCGGATATTTGAAAATGTAAGTAGTACTTATTCTTGTTCATATCATAGGTTTCTTGAAAAATTCAGGAAAAATACCACACCAGCCCCACCCACCCCAAAAAAATGACTAGAAGAATAAATTTATCAGTAAAACCATATTATTGGTTTCACCATCTAAGATCAAATATCACAAACTTCAATTACTTATATATATGACATGCATTTAACCATTTGTATAAACTAGCAAGTATATTTTCCACAAAAGACCAAGGTACGTCTTAACAACAAAGTTAAGACAAGAAAAAACATGGATGCAAAATGGAGAGTCAAATTTACCATGATTTACAAATTCAGCAGGGTTGTTTGGATTTGCAGTCACATGACCATCATATGTTAGGAGTTGATTACCTGAGACTTACCTACACTTTTGTCCATGCCACACGTGCTGGCTGTTCAAAAGTCCTCCAATAGTTTAGCTTTATGAATCACCTGATATTGATGCTTCTGATCTTTCACTGCTTCGTGAAGAGGACCTTAATTTGGGATTATTATAGCATTCCGAACAACCACTGTTCTGTTGCAAATGATATTTGTTTCTATTAGAATCAACCAAGAACGAAAAAATAAAATAAATAGGGAAAATATTATCTTTAGTTGGACAAAGATAAAAATAATATTAGGTAAACAACTAGCCCACCAAAGCAAGATTGCCTTTGATGTTGTTCATCACATTTACAATTATCAATGATGTTAATGAAGTTCAACTTTCTCTGTAATATTAGACTGTTACCTGCTACACTTGGAAACCATGCAGTGCTATCATTGACTGCTTCTAATCGGACTTGGACTTTAACACATGTATTAAATGCCCCCACCCACTTAGAGCATACGATAGAGGAAAGTGGAACCAAGTGAAATACAAAGACTGGTTCTCACCTTGCATAACGTAATTGTCTGTCAACCTCCTTCTCCGGCAACTCCAACCTAATTTGTATCGATCATCAATCTCTCCAATAATTTTCCATGGCATTTCTGATGCTATACTCTGGTTAAAGATTTCTTCTCTTTCTTTCTTCAGCTTAGTCTCTTTGTTTCCATTCCTTTATTCTATCAAACAGTTTTTTCAGTCCTTATCCACATAACTTCTTGCCTATTTCATACTTTGCTTTTATTAGTTCTATAACAATCATGGAGTAACTTAAGCCTAGAGTAACAACAGTGAGAAAGGTGGTGATAGTGGCAAGGTAAATAAGGCATCATGGTGAGAAGTGCTGCTTCTTTTTTTGGCGGGAGACAAATTCTTCAAAATCAAGGAAATTGCTGATAATTGGTATGAGCTCATACAGAGGAACAATAACTTTATTTCATAAATTCTGCTGACAGATTCAACATTATTGTTTTTTTGCAAATGCTTGAGACTAGCGCTTCAGAAGGTACTGGGAAAATCTGTAGGAGATAGAGGAACTTTGATCAGCTATACTCATACTTCGTCTTCCAAAATTTTAACGCTTATGGTAGATGTAGCAGTATTTTATAAGTGGGGATGATCCCCAAAATTGGGGAAGATGATGGCATTTGTGGGAGGAAGGAGTCTGTCCATTGGAGGTACCAACTCAGAATCAGAAGAAATGGAGTTACTTGCAGGTAGAAGTAATCAAGAGCCAGCTCTTAAGAGACCAGTAATAAATCATATGGAACTCGTCATAAAATATATTTTCATTTTTCAGAGAGATAGGTGATAGATTTGGTGGATTTGTATAACTTGATGAAGAGACCAGTAATAAATCACACATGTGATAGGCAAGAACGTGTGTTCTCTTCACCGGAGTTACAATTCCAAACACCAAGTGTCCTTTAATTTGCAAAGTGTCTCTTAAGGTCCATAACTCGATTCTGTAAACCAGAACTTGTACGTATATTCTCAATTGTTTCTACATCCATTCGTACTTTCTGCCTGAACTAAAATATGTGCCTAGAGATGTTACATGCTCAGTGCTGTACTTAGTTACAGAGAAGACCAGTTAGCATATATGGAACTTCCACTTGGAAAATACATCAGAACTAGAGGTTTCATCTAAAGAGGAATACACTGGCCAAATAACTATTCCAGTGACTAGAACCTCTCTATCAATCACAATGTTCAATTTCTTCATAAGGAAACTAAAAGCATACACAACCTGAAGTTTTTTTCTTGCTTCTAGAAATCCAGATACCAGATTTGTAAACAAACAAGTGATCTAGGTCATCCGTTCTAAGTATACAAGTTTTACCACAAATACTAAATAATTGATTCCTCCGAATAGCGTTCGCCTCAAATGCCTCTCACTAATTCAAAATTGTAAGAAATCGGCACACATTGAGAAACCCTAATTGAGTGAAAAAAAGTAACTAGAAAGCTAAAAGCTGAAGTAATGGAGATAAGATGGAGGAATTACCTGAGATAGAAGAAAGCCACAGCAATCTCTCTCCCAACGTCGATCGCTCCGACACTGCCTTTTGATCGAAACTTTTAGATTGCCTTTTTCACGCTTCACCTGCCGGTTAATATTTTTCTCTTTTCAACTTCATTTTAACTTTCTTTTCGCGCCGGCATTGTTAAATAATTTCATTTTGCTTTTCCGGGTTCGCGCCTAACTTCCTTTCTTTGGCAACTAAAAAATATTCACTTCTTTTTCTTTTTTTTGAAAAAAATCAGCCATTTGATTATAAAAAATTCAAATACAGATTATATTTGGAATTTAAAAAATAGATAAAGCCTTATTTCACTCGTATTATTCGTAAAATTATAACCAAATAAAATTCTAACTTCAAAAAAATTAAATAAATAAATCATTTCTATCACCAAATGCATACCTAAATTATGCCTCGAAATGACTAATGAGAACTGATTTTCCCTTATAAACAATTAACATATGTGAATAAGAAATTTGTAATTAATGCAATTATAATTCTCATGAATTATTGATTCGAGCTCAAGGTGAATGTTGGCATTAACTTTGGACAAATCAGTATTAAATAGCTTGTACAAGAACCTGTCCTTGGCACCAATATGAATTGGGATAAATTGATTGCTATTTCTTCCCTCTTAATCAAAGTGATTTGAGACTTGAAAATGAAAAAAATAAATTGTTGGAAGTGTTGTTACCATTAACCACAAAAGTAAGTTCCAAAATACGCATGATCCAAATTTTATCGAATTTTAATACAGATACCCAACCCAACGTTGGGCCTAAAAATAAACAAACGGAGATTCCAGAAAAATATACTACTAAAGGAGTTCGTAATTTCATGTAAAGAAAACCATTTACAGAAAATATGTTCAGACACAACTATTTACAAATTACAGTGAGGCCTTTAAAGTTTCTTTGGCCTAATTCCTCTGTTTTTTGTTTTGCAAGAAGATGAAGAGGAATTAACCAAAACGAAAATACAAATTGATCAATGGGAGAATCCCATTCTTTGAACCCGATCCTTGAGAATCCCAGTGTACAAAGCCATCCTATTTCCTGGAATCCCCACAATCTCATTCCCACAAGATTTAATTCGACTTTCTGTGAATTTCCTCATTTGTTTTCTTCTGTACTCCTCGCCATTTTTGCTCGAACTTTTCACATCAGCTGCAAATTGAACTTTCTTCTTTTTCTTTCTTGTTTTGTCCTTGTTCTTCCCAGCTAAAAAAACGTGAGATTAAATTAATCCATAAAACCAAGATCAAAAGAATCAGCTCCTGTTTGACCATAAATATGTACCTGAAGATAAACAGGACTTGAGAATCTGCTTATGATCATGTGGGTAGTCGGAAAGATGGGTCGCCGGGAAGTACTTGACCCGGAAAAGATCGAGTAAAATCACGGTGCCGGCAGAGACCGCCATGGCTGTCGCCAATACGAAGCCTTGTGAACCCAACATACTTGACATAGTATAATTGGTTGGTGAGAAATTTTTAGAGCTAGCTAGGAATATTGATTGACTGGTGTAGAATATACTCCAAGAAAAAGTTGACTGATCGAAAAGAATGGCGTCTCAATATTTTATACTATTATAATAAGAAGAAATTAGTGGGTGGGTTAAGGAGTAGTTAGTTAAAGTAATCCCACAGCATAAAGGATTTTGGAGTTGGTGCAACAGATTTTTCAAGTAATTTGAGGTATATATAAAATAATAATAATACTCCACTCTCGATTTCTTTTTATTTAAACTTTCGTAGAAGAGAAGAGAAGAGAAGAGAAGAGAAAAAAGAAGAAAAGATAAAATAATGTAACGGTATTTCTCCAAGTGTTTGATGTAGAATTAAATGAGCTTTTGCTTTCAGCAATGCACTGCACTGCACGTACGGCAGAGAAGTAAAGAAAGACAAAGTTGTGTTCAAAATGAAATTGTGATGGATTTATGGTGTGTAACAGTGTCCCTACAAAGTGTTTAACTTGGATAAAATCAGTGGCAAAACTAAAAAAAAAATTAATAAAAGAAGCTTCAAAATTTGAAGAAGTAGATACACCAATAGTTTGAATGAGGTTCGACATTTATTTTATATAAATAATAATATTTTATGCCAAAAAAATTGGATGAACCCCTAGCCGTATGCCGGCTCCGTCCGTAGATGAAACAAAGAATGTAGTCTAAAATCTAAAAAGAAGTGGGGAAAAGTTGGAGACGTGCAAGTTCTCTCTACTATTTTGCACTTCAAGTTTTGACACAAGTGCTTTATTGTAGGCTGTAGCAGTGGCTAGATGTCAAGCCAGAAAAGAATTATGTACCTTACCTGTCATGACCAGAGCTAACCACTTGTGTCGTCGAAATAGATTTATTAGTTGAATATTAATTTCATAATATTTTGACGAATAAAATTATATTTGAATAAATACATTTTATTTCAGAAAATATCGAAATTTAGGGAGGGGTAAGTTTTTATTTTACTTATATAAATAAATAAAGGTAGTTAGAATTCAATTTCAAATTAGAGTGAAAAATTGACAACGATTTTGAAATAAAAAAAGGAGCAAAAAGTCCAAACGGGCTAGTATTGGATTTCATCAAAAAAATATCAATTTTTCTTGGCCAAAGTATTACTTAGAGGTAATAAGGCATAAGTGATCGAAAATCAAATTGAGTTGAAGTTAAAATTTTATTTGGCATATAATTTAAACTTTTTAAATTATATTGTCTCTAATAAAAGTGAAAATCTCACGAGTTGAATTTCTTATGACCGGATTCAAGCTATATATAGTGTTGAACCTAGAGTTCTTTTGTTCTATCACAATTCACAGCTTAGGGAATATGAAAGAGAAAAAAATCTTTTATTAGCAAGATATTTTAAGTTAGAGCTCAGGGATGAAGTTATTTTTTAAGAGGACCTCTTTAGTAATAATTCGTGGTGTAAATCGAATAATGAATAATAGGTTGTTACTAAAAGAAAAATCAAAATCAGAACGTTCGGTTCATTTAAGGTTAGAATCGGACAAAGATTGATACTTTTAGATTAGTGTGCACCTTTCGTTGCACGTGATTTGATATTTTAAGAAGAAAAAAAGGAACTTGAAAGAAATTAGTTTCTCATTTTTTGTGGATAACATTTGTCTGTTCTTTTGTACCTCTTAAGTGTATTCGAAAGTAACAGAGAACTGTATTAAGACAGTTGTAGGCCCTGTCCCGTGATATGAAAAGGATAAACATGAATCAAAATAATACTAACACTAGTTCACTTAATATGAATCTTTTACTAGCATTGCGGTCTTAATGAAAATTCGAGTTTGAATCTTAAGTATGAAGAAAATTATGTAGGGAGCATGATCATTTTGAGCTTTGCAATGCGTGATTCAAATTTAGTCGAATTTCAATGCTCGGAAGAAACCAACAAAAAATCTTCCAGTTTTTACAACCTATGTGACACGTGTCGAATTGTGGATGATTTGAATCCAAATGTCACGGTTGATTGGATTAGGCAAAAGTAGAGTTAGGTATTGACAAATAATAAGGACCAATAGACACGTTTCAGTCTAATTACTTCAAAACAATAATGAAAATTGAGGATGGTCCAAAAATCACCCAAGTGGACAAATTGCAAATGGAATCTTTGATATTTGGGATTTTCCCACTTGTCTGATTAGTTTCAACACCATTTCATTGCATGCAACTTCATATCTCTGCATCTCATACATGTCACATACTTTCAAGAAACTTTGCTCGACCTATTCGAGGAATTAGGTGGACTGTTTCGACTATAAATATTAGGGCAGAAAAAACTTAAATGTACACCTTAATAACTTTAATTACACCAATATAGCAATACTTTTTTTTTCAATGATATAGCAATATTTTTTTTCAAAACTGGAATTTTTATTTTTTTTTAAAAACATTTACCAAGTCAGCCACAATTATCACGTATCCCTTAAATTTCTCCTTTTTGTTATATATTATCTCCCATGAAGAGAGATTTCATACAAAAATAAAACTCCCCTTCCCTACTAAGATCGACGATCCAAAATGCTTACCAATAATTTTTCAATTTTAATTCAACACAGCGGCGATGGGACACATCAGGTAATTGAATAAAAAACAGTTCATATGGTGTTTTTTTACGTGGTTGTATTTGATTTTTCATAACATATCGATTTTAATCTTTTTTGAAGTTATTCGTTTGGTTTATTTTGTCAATTTTGGTGGAATATAAATTCATATGATTTGGTTGATGTTCTGGAGCGTCGGTATGTTGGTTTATTTTGTCGATTTTGGTGGAATATAAATTCATATGATTTGATTGATGTTCTGGAGCGTCGGTATGTTGGTTTAATTATTAAATAATTATTAAAATTTAGCAATTGTTTGTGGAATAATATTGGGTTTTTTCAGAGCATCTGGTTTTTTTATTATTTTTGGTATTGATTCGTTGTTTTATATTAACGATTTTGGTGTAATTACAACAACTTCATAAGATTTTGGTTGTAATCTGATGTGTCGAATAGGTTTTTTTTTTTTGAAAGTTTTAGGTTTAATTGATTAATGCACCAACTAATATAAAACCATTAATTATGTGATTTAATTGGTATGTTGCATGCCCTATGTTAACAAATTGTATCAATAGTTTCTTTTGGTATGTGATATGGTGTACACATACAGGGGCGGCTCTAATAAATCGGTGGCCTAAAGCCAAATTCGAATGGAGGCCTTAAATTTGAATATATATTTTTTATGAAGTTTATTATAGTCAATTATTTAATCTTTTCTTGTGGCATAGTATTCATAATTTGTCAAACGTCTATTACTTCTTTGCTCTTTTATAAAAAGTTTTTATTTTCTACAAATAATACTTTATATTTTTTTTAAAAAAATACTTATAACCTATTTTTTTTAAAAAAAAATGAGGCCCCTCAAATTTTGGGGCCTAAGGCAATTGCTTTTTTTGCAAAGTTGTAGAGCCGCCCCTGTACACATATCAACTTCAAGTTAAATTTCAGGTACATGTATTTGTGTGTTTTGTTGTATTATTTGGTATATAAAATACAATTATAAAATAAATATTTTGGTACATTTTTGGTGTATTTTAATTATCTGAATTGGTGTAGATAATAATTTGAAAAATTGGTCATATGTTGATTGGTTGTATCCTGAAAAAAAAAAACAAATTAAAAATTTGTTTTTGGTATGTGATCTGGTACTTATGCTGGAATAGTTGTTTCTATGAATTGGTGGCAAATTAATATTCAGATCTATTTGTTGGTGTATTTTTTGATCTAAATTAGAATACCTTAAATGTCAAAATACTTATGGTACAGATTGGTATAATAAATTATTTGGTATCACTGTTTGTGTGAATTACCACAAGTATGCCAATTTATTATTAGTACAGTTGGTGAAAAAATTGGTCAATTACTAGAGTATATCAAAAACTTAGTTGTTTACCATCTATTACCAATGTAACTACCAAGCTATTAAAATGGATGGATGTAGTAAATTCATTCTGCAAAATTTAGCAAATTATTAAGAATTTGTATTTTATACAAGTAATTACGTGGATTACCTGAGTATTTGTAATTTCAACTCATATGATGATTTTGAGCATATGATGGCCGGACTATCAACACCATTACTTGTTTATTAAGCCTAGGGCTCTTATCCATTGGTGGAGGGTTAGAAATCTGATCAGAGATGAACTATGGTTAATTTGGCTGTGAAAAGATGAACTGCTTTAGTGAATTTTGTTCTTCAAACGATAAGAACAAAGAAAGATGGAGGGTTAGAAATCTGATCAGAAGAAGATGGATGGTTAAGGCGTTGGAAATAAGGTTTTTACTTGTAACTATGAATCACCTAGATAAGTAGACCATCTTTATTGATAACATGAAAGGTTTTATCAAAAAGGAAGCAAATAATTAAGATTCCAATAAAAAAGTCATTAACCGCATGGAAAGTAAATATCATAAACAAATAAACGTGTATACATGAGACTGTATTAGGAGAGATAATATTGATAAATAGGTATGTGGGGACAATGGGATCAACAAGAAAATAACAGTGTTAGAATTCAATACTAGTATCCTTTCAGAACACGTATAAAATCTGGAAAAAAAAAGTTGTAACAAAAAACAACGACGACTTAGCTAGGAATTTATTATCTTGTTAACATAACAAGTCTACAAGTTTTATTTAACTTAGGTAGTGAGGATAGGAGGAAGGAGGTCAGATTTAGTACCAACAACCTTAGCCTTAGTGTCAGGGAAGTACTCATTTCCATTTCCAGGCAGATCTGTGATCTCACCGTCGTTAGTAAGTCCGATGGGGTATCGAAGCAAGTGACCAGGAAGATCAGTTTCTAGACTCTCACTTGTGTACAGATCCCAGTATTTATCAGCTATTTCATTCACCTTCCTCACACAATCTTCGCTCTCTGGATGTTGGAACGTGTCATCGAGCATGCCCATATGCTCGTACCACAATGCCATTCGGAACCCATGAACTTGACCCCTTGCTGGTTGCCTACTCGTCGTTAAATTATGAGGCTGGTATGCTCCAATTGCTATCTCTGAGTCTCTTGCACCAT